GGCGGGCTTGGGGGTGGTCGGGGTGGTGGGTCTGGTGGGTGGATGTGCATGGTGACCAGCGAGAGGCTCGAGTGGCTCAAGCGGTGCCTGGGGGTGGCCAAGGCCGCATTGGACACCATGACGCAACTCGTGTCGACCACTTATACAGAGGTGGGTATGTGTGTTTGTGTAACCTAACCTGCCCAGCCAAACAGACCCGTGTTTGTGGTCCTCCTGTATGTCGTTGTCGGCATGACATTGACTGACAGGTGTGGTCTCCCATGCTGCTTCCCGTGCTCAAGCAGTCGCTCCCGTGGCTGCTCGCACCCTATCTGGGGGGCAGCCCGTCGCTGTCATCCACATCTGGGGCCAACAAACAGACGCACGAGTTCATCCTACTGATTAACCAATGCAGAGACGGTACGTCAGACAGAGGCACAGACACACACACATCTGGCCTGCAGTGCCTTTTTCTTTATTCTTTGTGTGGGTGCGATGCAGCCGCCTTGACGCTGATGTGTCTGGTGGTGAGTGACCACCTGCCCGCCGTCCTGAAGCAGCTGGTGGTGACCAGCACCACCAGCACCGGCCAACCACCACCACCACCAGCAGCAGCAGCTGCTGCTGCTGCAGCCGACGCCCCGCAGCCGTCATCGGGCAGGGAGCTGGTGGTCCGGCCGATAGTGGGTGTGCTGCGGTCGGAGCTGCAGCCGATCATCTCTATCCCCTTGGTGGACGACCCTTCCAGCACATTCAGCAGCAGCTTGGACACGGGTGTGAGTGTGAGTGTGCGTGCGGGGGATGTGGAGAGCATCACGTCGAGCCGGTACGTGGCCATCGGGCTGCACTGCCTGGTGCAGCTGCTGCAGCAGAAGGACACCACCCTGTGGCTGACGCCATTCCTGGACGACATTATGGAGGTCGGAAAGAGCCACACACCCAAACAAGAGCACACAAGGGGATGGTTGGTGTACCCAGAGGTTGCCTGATTCTGCATCTCATCTGTACTTGTGTGGCAGATAGCATGTGCGTTGAAGAGATTCCAGTCCCCTGCTGGTCCTTTGTTCTGGGAGGTGGTTGAGGCGGTGCTCTGCTCTGGCAGCCGTGGGGATGACGACACCCAGGTAGCCATGCCAATGGCCGTAGACGGGGGCGACACAGCAGCGGAGGAAGGAGCCAACGGAGCCGCAGCAGCGCCGGCAGCAATGGACATGTAGCTAGCCAGACCGTTGGAGTAGGGGGTAGCGGGCCGTGTTAGCGAGATGGATTGATGGATTGATGAGGCATTAACTTCATGCGCTCGCCCGGCAGACCAGGGCACACCACCAAAGCAACCAGAGAGTGTCAGTCAACCATGCCATGAACGGACAGAAACACATAATGGCACACAGAGCAAGTCAGAAAAAGCTTCACAGTCACAGATATCTAACAAACACACTACGCCCAGGTGCGATAGCGGCCAACCCACCCACTCACTCACTCGTCAGTGACGTACGTAACCTAGGCCTGTTGTCTTCCTGCTTGCTGCTCCTGCTGATGCTCCTGGTGGTGCTGGCTGACTCGCTGCATCAGCTGTGTGTGCTCCTGTATGGTCGCCAGGGGTGTCAGCTCCACAGCCGCCACAGCAGCCTCTGCAGCCACTGTTGCGGCTGCATCCGCAGGTGTGGCCCCAGCAGCAGCACCACCTGCAGCAGCAGCAGCCCCTCCGGCGGCTGAAGTGCAGTTGCTGATGAACTCGATGAGGTCGGTGTTGCGCTGGCAGGGGCCCTTGCACTGAGACAGACACTGAGTGCTGTTCTTGAGCCAGTCGAAGAGATCGTACTTGCCTTGCTGCTCACAGGGTGACACAGACAGAGACGCACAGCCAGACAAGGAAGGTACATATTGAGCTCTCGGCCTGTGGGGGGAATGGACTGGTGTGTCCTCCCTCAGCTGGGCGCAGTCTAGTTTGACAGGTGGCATGGTGAGTCTGTCAATCTCCTCGTTGACCTTGTCGATGGTCACCCCCACCCCCTCGGCGTTGGCGTCGGTCAGCCCCATGAAGCAGCGGAAGCACCGCTTCTCGTTGTCATTGAATGCCGTGAAGTCCCGGTTCTGCTTGAAGGTGTAAAGCATATACACCCGCAGGTCGGCCTCGCTGTACTTGACCTTGTCGAGCTCCTGCTGCTCTCTCTTGTTGCGCTCCACCATCTCGCCCAGCTTGTTGTAGATCAGCCGGGTCTCCTTGCTCACCTCGCAGCTGTAGATGGCGTAGAAGTTGCGCGTGTCGCACCCCTTTTTGCTCAGGTAGTCGCGGTCCGTGAAGCCCTTGACCGTGTAGCGACACACACCCGGGGCACGCTCACACGCCTGGAAAGCCTCATGCGTCTGCACCAAAGCCTTGTCTGTGCCGCTGCGTGACGCAGAGCAGGCGCAACAAGCACACAAATGGCGTGTGTCTCGTTCGTGTGGTCGTGTCAGAATTCACCAGTTGTCGCCATAGACGGCTTCGCGGACCATGACAGAGCTGGTGGGAATCTCGCAAGGGATCTCAATCTGCTCGCCGGCGGCTTCCTTGGAGACTATGTTGACGGCATAGAGGTCCCTGGGCAGGCAGTGGTGGTTGATGCGGATGCGGTTGGCCCCCAAAATGCCCGCCAGCTGCACCGAGTGTGGGTCGGTGATGATCTCCCGCCACTCCCTCTCGCACCGATTCATCTTAGTCGTGCACTGGTCCTCGTCGAGCTTTGCAAAGCCGCAGTCGAATTTCTCCTCCGCCTCTCCGCCGGCCGTTGTGTTAGCCTTCATGACCCAGCAGGAGGTGACGACGAAGTGCGTCCACCGCGAACCGTCACAGGCGTTCTGCTTGGCCCTTTTCGGCCTTGGTGTCCTCGCACTGGATGATAAACTTGGGGGAGCTGCCGAGGTTCTCCATGCTTGGCAGCTCGCTAAGGAACTGCGTGCCGATGGCGTAGATGCGGTGGCAGTCCTTGACCTTGAACTTGGCCCCTGTGGGATTCTCGATCTCCTGCTCCACACACATGGCCTCCTCGAGGGCTATGGGCATCCCCGCCGTGGGAGTGGCGGCCTCCAGCGCCCGACCTTCGAAAGCCCCATGGCGGAGGACGTTCTTGCTCTGGTGGGCGGCCGAGTCAGTGCAGAGTGAGAAGGCGGGGTAAAGCAGGAGCACAACCAAGCCCGACAGAGCTAGAGCAGTCATCATGGATGTGTAAAAGCCTCCAGGTGTGAGTACCGAAGGAAAGGCGAGCCCCCCCCCCCG